CAATTAATATATTTATCTATTTGTTCTATAGATTATATGAATTGTATTAAAAGCCAAGGAGGGCATATAATTATATAAACAGTGAATTATTTATTTATTTATTTATTTTGTCAAAAAAGCTGAAGTTTGAGGCTTGAATGTAGATAAATGATGTCTATGAACCAAAGTTTTTACAATTGGATACACCTGGGCCTTTGAGGGACCCTCATCAACCGAATATGAAAACCACAGCAGCCGAATAAAGGTTTCAAAATGGGCCAATTTGATGCGTGCCTTACCCAAACATCGTTGTGGTGCAAGATTCGACCCAAACCTTCTTCTCAAGACCAAAAATGACTCAATTTTGAATTCTTATAATGACGAAAAAAGAAATTGAATTCTTGTGAGAATTCACTCACCTTTGCTAGAACCAACACGTTATTCTTTTGTTTTTTTCTCCCTTCTAATTGAAATATATTGAATATAGTACTATATCATATTTGATTAATCCCAGTATAACAATTTGGCAAAATACTAGTATATCTTGAACTCTGACCAATTATCCATAAAATTTTGATGTGTTCATTTATAAACTCATTTTTATTTCTTGTTTTCTTGATACTCATGCCATCATATTTTAAAAAACTACAAATGCTTTACTTTTCCATGCATGTCTCTTCATTTCGACAATTAAATTTAAACTAAGTATTTCCAAAAACAAATATAAAACAGTAAAGACTCTTTTGATAAAAAAAAAAGTCACTAATTCAGTGACCTACCAAACGAGGAATTAATAGTTGTCTCACAGCGACTTGTGTTACATAAATTCTCTTATGTTACTTCCATCCTTTTTTATTTTTCAAAATAATTTAATGTCTTGATTTTCACTGCTGGGGTCTGCTTATAAGAGGTGATTCAATAAGGATAAAGGATGCATTTCACAAAAACTCACTGCAAGCCTAGTTTATTAAATTAAAAATATTTAATAAATTTAGTTGTTAAATTAACTGATAAATATAAAATGACAAATGAAAACATCGTTAAATTTGGGTTCAAAGATTAAAATTTAATAATTATAAAATTTTAATTTTACTCTCATTTTAGAATATTTTTATTAAATAAAATGAAATAATATGAATTAATTAATTTATTTATTTATTTTTGGTGATTTTATATTGTAAAATATAATATTTAATGATTTAGTTATATTTTAATAAAATTTAACAATGAAATAATTTATTATTAATTACATGGATCAATTAGTAAGAGTTTTTTCAGCTTAACCTATGGTCTTGAGTTTGAGTCTCAATAAAAATAAATGCAATTATATTAAATACTCTAAGAGAGAGCTTTGTAATCTATAGTAGTCATACTTGACTCAAACAACCGTGTTAAATACTTAGAAGAATAAAAAATGATAGTTTTAAAAAGTTGAACTTGAAAATAAAGAGTAAAAGTTAAAGGAATAAAAAATATGAAGTTTTTAAATAATGGAAATAAAAAAAAAAAACTCATTTTAACTAGTAACTAAAATAATATTTTAAGACAAGTAAATAGTTGGTTCTTACAAAAGTTGTACCTTTTGAATTTAGTTCTACAAAAATTTTGTTATTATATAATATCTAACTTTTTTTAACTTATTAAAAATTAGTTCCTACTTACTAAACTTTGATAAGTGATGAAGTAAATTGCAAAAGTTAAACTCATCGCTTCCATGTGTTTGTTTCATTTTCACATTCTTCAAAATAGCCCTTATACCCATCATTGTTAAGAAAAAGGTGCATTGCAACAAAATTATTATGAGGAGATGTTTCAATGTCTTTGGACTGAAGGCTTATGTGCATTGCAGAGAATTTAATTTTCATTAATGGCACTTTGTAAATTAAGAAAAAATTGGGTTAGGGCTTACACATCGTCACAGCACAATCAGATCATCAGATCGACACCCTCACCATTAACACTCACCTTCATAGTCAATGCTCACCCTCAAAGTTGATGCCCACCTTCATTGTCGACACCTTTAGATCAACACCCTCACAGTTTACCTCACCCTCATAGTTGACACCTTCAGATCAACACACTTGCAGTTGACGCCCACCCTTAAAGTTGATTAGAGAGAAATATTTCTTGCCATGTCTACTGATAAAAAACAAGCATGGTTATTTAGGCTTTAAGGATAAAACTTTAGATATCTTTTTAGTATATTTATTTATTATTTCTATGATTATGGTTTTAATTTATGGTGAACATTTATTTGAGTGTTTTTATGAAATATTTTAAATTTTATGTTTATGTTATTACATTTTTATTATATAATTTTCATTGAATAACTTTTTTTATCAATGTTTTGTTGAAATTATATGACAAGTTATAATTATAATGGATATTAATAAAAGTGATGATTCTTTTTATGATTTAAGTGATGATGAGTTAACTAAGTTTCTTTTAATTAACATACTTTATGATTATAATCATAAATTTCTGAACAAAGAAAAAGTTTGAACATTTGCATTAAGTGATTTTGATTATACTTAAGAGTTATTAAATCGAAATAAAGAAACTTGTTTCGAGTTACTTCGAATGAAGAATGTCTGCTTTGTTAAATTTTGTGATGAGTTGAAGGCAAAGAGTTACTTAAGTAACTCAAGGAATATATTTCTTGAAGAGAAAGTTTTTATATTTTTATTTATAATTGGGTAGAATGTTCACCATAAAGTTATTGCATATCGCTTTCAACATTCAACAGAAATAGTGTTTTGTTATTTTAAGCAAGTATTAAGAGTAGTATGCTTGTTGGAAAGAAAAGCTGGAAAAACAATTGAGCTATTGTTATGGAACTACATAGGTGTAATTGATAGCACTTATAGTGTATGGGTTCTTGTTGAAAAAAAAATTGCATATAAAGATAAAAAAAGCAGCTATCACACAGAATGTTATTTTTGTTTGTGATTTTAATATAATGTTTATATTTGTGTATTCAAAATAGGAAGGAAGTGCACATGATTCAAAAGTTTTTTTTGGATGCACTTACCAACTCAAATGCAAATTTTTCATGACCATCTAAAGGTAAGTAATTATATTATAATTCAACTATTTTAATTGATGAAAAAAATATTCATAAATATATGTTCTATGTGATGTAGGTTTGTTCTATCTTGTTGATTCTGGTCATCCATGTACAGGAGGTTTTCTTCCCCCTTATAGGAGAGAAAGGTATCATGCACAAGAATATAGAGGTCAAGCCAGGCAACCAAGGAGACCTACAGAGTTATTCAACTACAGACACTATTCTTTGAGAATGACAATTGAGCGTTGCTTTGCAATCTTGAAAAATAGGTTTCTTATTTTGAAGTTGATGCCTCCATATAAAATCTTATAGGCAACAACTCATAGTAATTGCATGTTGTACTATTTATAATTACATACGATAGTGAAATTTGATGATTTATTTAGGATATGAGAAGAAATGAATTCTATCGAAATTGAGCATGAGAATAGAGTTTCGAGTCATAGAAGAAACTAGCTCCAATGATCATAATTTAGTCAAAATATTTAATAAAAGTACAATTGAGATGGAAATATTTAAAAATCATATTACAAATCAAATGTGAGCACAATATAAAACTAGTTAGTATTGGTTTATGCATATCCAATTATAAATAGTTATACATACGTTGCAAAATTTATTCTTAATATACATATTTACTTGTTTTATTATATTAGTGTTATTTTTTTTGTGATATTACTTATTCATATTATTTTTTTATTAAAAATTATTTAATATTAAAATTAATCATTATTTTATAGTTTAATATTGATTTATTTTGTAATTTTCATAATTTATAAAACTCTCTACATCACAAGTATTACTTCAATTTAATATTGAATTTTAAGATTTTAAGAATTTTTTAATTCAATATTTTTCTTTTAAATATAAAATATAGATTTAATTAAATAAAAAATTACTAAAATTAAATATCAAATATATATATATATATATTCATTTAATTTTAAATATTAAATAAAAAATAAATAAAACCAAACACATTTTTTTTAATTTTTAAAATTTGTTTTTAAAAACAAATTTATTAAATAAATTTTCTTATTTTCTCATCTTAAAAACAGTTTTGAAAATTAAATTAATAAACAAATTTTATTTTCATTCTCTTTTTAAAAATAATTTTATAAAATAATTTTAAAATATAATTTTTAAAAACTAAAAAGTAAAACTAAATCAAACAAACCCTTTGTACAGGTAACAAAATCTTGTCCAACCTTACAACGTACTGCAAATACTAGTTGTTGCTTAAAGCTTTTTAAAAAGTTCACCACATTCATGCATAAGCAAAACTGTTGCGTTTTAGGGTTGACAAAGTCGGAACTTGAATTCTCTTCCTCAGAAATTTTCCAAATCCAAACCAAACTCAAGTAAATGTAATAAACTGAAACGTTGTTATAAAAATGTTTAAAGGAAACAATAAATAATAAAAGATTGTGAATATTTTAATTTTTCTCAATTTTTATGAATTTTATTCTAAATTTTTAAAAATAAAAGTTGTTTTTTAACTTTTTCTTTATTATCTTATATAAATGTTTATTCTCTGTGAATTTACGTATTTATATTTATATTTTATTATTTTAAAATATTATATTTTAAAATTATTATAATTTTATTAAATTTTTATTATTTTAATATATATTACTTAAAATTAGGTTAAAATAATTTTTTTACAAATTAATATTTTAAATAATTTTATTATATATTATAGATATTTATTTTAAAATAAAATATTTGTATACGTAAGAAGTCTTCTAAACATGTTAAGACATATTTTTTAGGCTTTTGGCACCCTTTTATTTTCTGAGGAACTGTATTAGTATTCTTATATCATTAGATACTGGGTGTGAATTACGTGTCCGAAATTGAACAAGTGGGACGAGGAGACCTTTCTTTTCCGATAATCTAATAATATATAATGTAAAAGTAACTGAAAGTTATGGAAGCTTCGCATTTGGCATACTTTTTACTCTTCACTTTGTAGTTTAGTTTAAGCCTTTTCAGCTTTTTATTGTTGTCTCTAGCAAAATTCTCCTAAAGCCTAACTCAACGCTAACTCGTTTCCTTCTTTATTCCAATTCTCTGCTTCTGGGTATGTTACTCTCTGCTCAACTTCAACAACTGTCAACCAGAAACATCCCCTTACCTTGTCAATTTCGAGTCTGCTTATGCTTATGTTGTTCCTTGACTTCAATTTTGCTTATGAAATTGGCTGCTTTTGGGTTGTTAGATAATCTTATGCTATGCTTATTAACACTATTTGTGTATTTATCTTCCTGATGATGCTTTGGATAGTTGGTCGGTTTAGGAGTTTTGGTCATTATTGGCTATTTGCCATTATGTTGTTTGTTTTCTTCGTGAATTTGAGCTTTGGCATCTTAATCTTCCAAACTCAATATTTGATTAGTGCTTGCATTTGCAAGCATATTAAACCAGTTAGTTGTATCTCCTTTTATGGTGGTGAATCATTAAATTAAATCCTTATTGGCTGATTTGCTTATAATCCATCTACATTTGGATGAAATCTTGTTGGTACAATCAATATTGCATGTAGAAGCCCTGGAATTTAGAGATCAATTCATATTGCGATGTGTGGCTTTAATTTTCTGTGCTATGCATCAATTATGATTCATGAGACGAGGCTTCTATAAAAGGTTAATGCTAATTTGACTTTTTGAGAGACTAAAGAACAACAGCGTATAATTTAGTAATAATTTATGATTGCTCTTAAAACAATTTTGATATTGTTTTACAACAATGCTTAACTATTAGGACAGTACCTGCAAGAAACATCCTAAGAGGTGATAAGAAAATGCAGTTATATCATCATCCGTTGGATTTGGACAGCCAGAAGGTTAGACTTGCATTGGAGGAGGAAGGTGTAGATTATACATCTTACCATGTCAATCCCATAACAGGCAAGAATTTGGATTCCTCATTCTTCAAGATGAATCCCAGTGGAAGACTCCCAGTTTTCCAAAATGGCTCTCACATCATTTACAATACTATTGATATAATCCAGTATGCCCTCTTCTTAATACCCCTTGTTTATCATACCATTTCTAGTTACATGAATAGTTGTGCATAAAAGAACATCATTTTTGAAGAGTATGTGGAACTTGAAAGGGAAATACCAAAGAAAAAAGGATAAATTACATCACACCTCTGAATTTTTAAGCGATATTGCACCTGGACCTTCTTTTTTTGACCTCTCACAAACAATTAATAAAAGGTTTTCTTAACCTCAATCCTTAGAGCTGAATTTAAGCATCTAAATGTAGTTAGTTTTTATTGGAAATGAAAACATTCATTACATTAAAAATACTAAACTATATTAAATGTCTTATTTTTAAATGAAAACTTATTATTATTAGGTGTTTAAATTCAGCTTTAAGGGCCAAGATTAACATTTTCTAGTAATAAATCAGGAGATGTCTGTGTAAAGAGGACATGGTGTTATGTTATATTAATTGAGAGAGGTCTGTCTGTGATAAATAAAGGAGGGGTATCGGTACATTATCACTTTAGGGAGTGTGAAAGTAATATGCCAAAGAAGGAAATAGCTGAAAAATTGATTGCTGACAGAGCTGCTCTCTTCATGTACATCATTACTCTCAAATCAACTCCCTTAAAGCTGCAAATTGTTTATGCACTTAACATAATGGAGTGGTTTGTATTGTTTCTTGATTTGAACCTTCTTCACACTAAGAATAAAGTGTGTTAACAATTTGAATTTACTTTCAAATCGTTACGTTACAAACTTAAGTTTTATTGTTTTATTGAATGTTCAGGTACATAGAAAGAATTGCCGTGGTCTCCTCAGGGGCTGATAGCATCAGTACTAGCAGCAGGGAAGTGATTGAATGGATGCAGAAGATACAAGAATGGGATCCCAAGCTTTTCACACTTTTCTATATACCAGAGAAATACCTCCATTATGTTTCTAAGTTCATAAGGCGAGTGGTGATTGCTCGCATGTCTGAATCACCCGAATTAGCAAGTGATTACCATAGGAAGTTGAAAGAAGCCTATGAGACTGAAGAGAAATTGAAAGATCCAGATGTTTTGAGGAGAATCAAGGATCATTTGGTTAGATTGCTTGATGAAGTGGAGAGGCAGCTAAGTGAAACACCTTATTTAGCAGGTCAAGAGTTTACCATGGCTGATGTGATGCTCATTCCAGTATTAGCTCGTTTAGAACTCTTGAATTTAGAGAATGAGTACATAACTGGAAGGCCAAATACTTCTGAGTACTGGATTTTGGTTCAGCAAAGGCCTAGTTATAAAAATGTGATTGGTAAGTACTTCAATGGTTGGAGAAAACACAAAACACTGTTGAAAACATGGTGCTTAGTTCGTATTAGAAGTTGGCTGAAGAGGTACTAGTAACGTACTTGTATATTAATATCGCTCATGGTTGCCAAAAGGAGGTTAAATGAGTGAAACAGCCCAAGTTGCCAGTATCCAAAAGATCTTTTGAATGTGTATTGAACAATTTATGCGTTGCAATCTTCATCCATCAAAAGAATTGAGAAAAGGAAAATTTGTTTATACTGATATTGGAAGTACAGGGTTACTTCTTCTAATGTGTACGTTAACTCTGATATTTGTAAATAAAATCATAGAAGCAAAGTAAAGTAGTCTGATGTTATACATTTTCTTGCATTGTTCTACGCACAACTTGAACCACATGTGAAGTTTGAACAATGACTAGACAGAAAAGTTTACCATTTACTATCACAAACCGTGTCTTAGTGTGCCATAAAATTGTGAAGTGATGTTATTATATTTACATTAGACACAACATTGACTTGGTTGAGATATTGGGCATTGAGTCATTTAAACTAGTGAGTCATTGCTTAAATGGTTTAAACTGCACATAAAATATACGTACATGCATATATATATATAACATAAAAATTATAAATCATTAAAACTTTTCAATCCAATTTTTTTCACTTTACTTCCTTTAGAATATATCGATAAAATAATATAATAAAAAAAACATATATATCTTGGTCTAAGGTGTACGTAAATTAACTTTTGTTAAAATTCATCATTCTAGGAAACGGATTGGTCATTTGCTTTATTTCCTTCAAAGACATATTATTAAAATAACAATGGAAGGATATACTTAGTTTAAAAATAAGTTTTGGTTGTTCTTTTTCACCAAGAAGCGAACTTGTTTTTCAAGAAGGTAGGTTCTCGCCCTAGCTATCCATACAATCATTCCTGTGCAACGCTTGGAAGAGAGACAAATGAGCTCAGAGGTGGCTGCAACCTAGGATTAGACTGTCGTCATCGTCAACCTTGAAGGATGGAAAGGACTGAAGGGAGAAGAGATCTAAGGAAAAGGTGGACTTGGTGGATCAGAGTACAATGAAGGTAAAGATTGCCTCCAATGATTTGATTCATTTGCTGGAAGGAGGCATGCACGAAGACCCCAAATCTGAAGAGTTGTTGTCGGATCAGGTGTTCTCTAACCCTAAACCTTCTGATTCTTGTTCATATAAGGATAAAGTAATAGGTGTGAATGACTTTGATTTAGCTTTTAATGATGCTAAAATTGTCAAATCAGTATTAGACGATTTTAACATAAGTACTGAAACTGAAGATATTGAAGAAATACATCTTTCAAACCAAAACCTATGGCCCGACCTTAGGATCCCTCTAGAAGATTATGAGGAATGGTGTGCCCCTTGGAGATTTACACTTATTGTGAAACTTCTTGGTAAATCAGTTAATTTTAACTACTTGAATCAGAAACTGAGTAGTATGTGGGGGAAAAATAGTTTCCTAAAAATCTTGGACTTAAATAACAATTTTTTTTTTTAGTCAAGTTTGATAGCATGGAGGATTATACGTTAGCACTATTTGAAGGGCCTTGGTTGGTCTTGAACCATTACTTGTTAGTTCAAAGGTGGAGGCCCCTCTTTAGGATAAAAATTATAACCTTAGGAAAATTGTAGTTTGGGTTTGCATCCCTGACATGCCCTTAGAGTTGTATAATAATAAAGTTCTTTGGTAGGTTAGGTCTTGTTTGGGGTCGATGTTAAAAGTTGACCCCTATACTCCTTAGTCTTGTTTGGGGTCGATGTTAAAAGTTGACCCCTATACTCCGTACTTTCTAGGGGTAAGTTTTCTAAGATTTACATTGAAATATATCTTAGAAGGAAACTAATTCCTGCATTGAAAGCATTAGGACAGGAATTTAAGGTGGAATATGAGGGACTGCATTTAATCTGTTTTAAATGTGGTAAATATAGACATCATCAAGAACAGTGTATTGAGATGAGGAAATCCAACCAATCCAGCATAGGACCTGAACCTAGGAAACCTAATAATCTTGAAGCAGTTGGGGATGTGATAGGAAATAACTCTACTCTAAACAGGGATATGGTTATTGATAGTACTGATAATGAGGCAGGAAAGGAAGGTGCTCATTTTGGGCCTTGGATGCTAGCTAAAAAGCAACTTAGAAGAAAACCTAGTTCTCCCTTGACAAATGGGGTACCATCTAAATATGGTAAGGCCAAAGAAGTTTCACCAAAGTCAAGATTTGATGTCTTAAGTAGCTCCTCTAGGAACCAGGAACCTGAAGTAGAATCCAGTATTGATAGACCCTCAAGCCCTTCTCAGACTAAGGTTCCTTTTCCTACAGATACCTCAACTAATATGAAACCTAATAAGCCCTATAATTTCTCCAAAGTTTCTACTCCTGTTAAGAAAGGTGCAAAACCTAGACCTAACCCAAGAAAGGGTAGCGCCAACAAAGGTTTAGGGGGGAGTACTCAGCTTGCCCAAGGCAGCAATGATAATACAAAACAAAATGACTAAGGAAGTGATTTTAGTAAGGAAAGTAAAGAAACTCTCATGTTAATGAATACTTACCAACATATTCTTCATAAAAATATGGGCTTTAGTCATAGTATCCAGGACCTTATAGGACTTAATCCTGATTTTCTTTGGAAGGAGCAAGGAATCCCCTACCTGAACCCCACTAATAGACCCCTTGATATGGCCTTAACCATGGATCTTGATAAAACTCCTATCTAGGAGCAATTTCTTTTGGGTAATAATGACCCTATAGTTATTTCTTCTAGTTTGTCTTAGCATCCTAAAGATGCCTTAACCCTTAAATCTCTTAGTTCATGAATTGTATGTTTTGGAATAGTAGGGGTGCTAGGTGGAAGACCTTCCCCAAACTTATTAATGACCTAATTAGGATCTATAATCTGAATTTTTACCCTTTTTGAACCTAGGATTAATTTAAACAAAGCTAATCTAGTCTTGAAAAAGTTCTATCTTGATGGTTATGTGAAAGTTGATGCAGTAAATTTTGCAGGGAGTATTTGGTGTTGTTGGAACACTAAGAAAATTAAGGTAGATATCTTAGACCAGAATAAATACTTTATCCACCTGAAAGTGAGGAATGGCCAGCAAAATTGGGTGTTGTCCTCTGTTTATGCCAACCCTCAGGAAGGGCTTAGAGCTCAATATTGGAAATCCCTTATTAATTTTAGTCATACAATTTCAGGCCCTTCGTGTCTAGCTAGAGGCTTTAATTCAGTTCTCTTTGAAAAAGAGAAAGTTGGGGGAAGGCCTATTAATCTTGGGCTTTTAAATTAATTTGCTGACTGCCTTAATGTTTGTTGGCTTCAATATATGGGATTTAAAGGAAGCCTTTTTACTTGGCAGATAGGAGTCATCAAGGAAAGAATTGATAGAATTGTGATTAATGACTCTTGGAGGCTATTATTCCCTAATAGCTTTGTCATCCACCTTCCTATTATAAAATCTGACCATGTTGTCTTGTGGTTAAAAATTAGAGATAAGGAATGTCATATGCCTTGTCATAAATCTTTTAACTTTGTAGCTCTTTGAATAGCCCATGAGTATTTTAAAAATCAGGTTAAAAATTATTGGATCCCTTCAAACTCTTGGACTACTAATGTTAATAGTTTCCAAAAGCATATTATTTACAGGAATGTGAATTTTTTGGCAACATTTTTAGGAGGAAAAGACATTTATTAAACAAGATCAAGGGCATTTTTGCTAAATTAGATGTTCAATATAACCCTTTTCTTATTAACCTTAGGAAGTCTTTATGGATGGAATACCAGAATATCCTGGATTCTGAAGAAGCTTTTTGGTTCCATCATTATAAATCTAACAGGATCAATTTAGGCAATAGGAATAATAGGTTTTTTCATAGGGCTATTGTAACACCTTAAATTTAATTTCAATTTAATAAGAATTTCACAAATTCAAATAACCAATTTTTATAAAATACTTCAAAATAAAGGAAGGGTTACAAATTAATATCAAATGACTGCTACAAGACTAATTTAGTTACAACAAATTTTAAAATAAAAATTAAGTCCTATAGCAGTTCATCCATCCCTTCACTGAGTCCAGTACTGGTCGTCTTGATTACCTGAAAAAGGAATGTAAGAGTGAGTACTCTACACTACCCAAAAGCACATAGTCAGCATAGAGTCTCACCTCCAGCACATTACCAATACATTAAGCGAATACAACTACAGACAGCATTTCACATTCACAAGCACAACACACAAGCTCGTGCATACGCACAACAGCCACACTCACTATAGCACTGTGATCACAGATTTACACCATGAATGGTCGCCGATTATCCCCGCCTCACAGATACCACATGGGCAGTCACGGGTCGCTCAACAAAAATAGTGGTCAGAGGTCTGGTCAGGAAGAGAGTGTGTGGCCCGTGGTACACCCATTCCGCAGTCGGTGTCACCACCACTCCTTCTTCCCTGAGGTATTTTTACTGTCCTCATCTCCCACATCCCCAGTGTATTGTTGAACCATTCATAGCACATTACAGCGGCGTTACTACGCTCCAGTCACACACATTCAATACACGGCACATAGTTCACATTTAACAGTACACGACATTAGGCCCATATTTGTTAAACTATACGGCACTAGGCCCACATTTCATTTCCACAGCACACACAACACATAGCCCACAATTCATTCATGCCACACGGCCCCTAGCCTATTTTCATTCATACTACACGGCCCTCAGGCCCACATTTTCACAATTTTCATTCAGATATACACACATGTATAAACGGCACAAGTGCCCATTTCACATATCTCAGCAATTTCCTACCCTCTACTCAGCCACATTACAATATCATACATAAAGGAGTAGGGTAGAGTCCCCTCTTACCTCGAATTGACGTCCCACACGCTAAATCAACCAAGAAGTACTTCCCCTCACGGATTTCATCCTAAACACATGGAGAAACTCCATGAGAACCCAGGGAAAACACAAAAACAAAGAAAGGGGATGAAAAACTGAAACCCTAACAATTAAAACTCACCTCCAAGCGTTCTCCACA